TAGAGATCTCACGGTTTTACATTTTCTTAATTACTATTTCTAAGGCGATTTTATATTTTTAATGTTTTCTTAAACCTTCATAGAGGAATTGTTCCTGATTACTACATATTCCGCTGACTGAAATAAAGACATTGAAAATAATCCCTCACTGAGGTTTAATGTGTTCATAACAATGCTCGTTGTTTTTAGAAAAAGAGAACCCCATTTTATTTTGTGTAATCTCCATAAGAATAGGCATGTTCCTGAAATGTTAATAACTTTAAAACATACGTTTCCAAATATTTTCGGCATAAGAAAGGACTTTATATCTTACTAAGGTACTGATTTTGGTGTAGGGTACTTTTAAAAATAGATGATGAAACTGTCAGAAGTTAAAAAGGGTGGTCCAGGTCTGAAAGGCTAATGCCTGCTGAGCAAGTCATCCCAAGAACAAGGATGCAAAAGGCCCCTGGGGTGATGGAAGGATTCCCACTGGCTGCAATGGGGTTTGGGTCAGTGTGTGGGGCCCAGGTCAGTAGAACAGTGGTGTCATAGCGTCACACATGGCCAACCTGGATTCTTCCCCGTCCAGATATTGACGAATGTTCCCAAGACCCATCGCCCTGCGGCCCCGACTCCATCTGCACCAACATGCCGAGCAGTTACACCTGCAGGTGCCGGGCAGGCTACCTCCCACTCATCCAGTCTGATGTCCATTTCAGCTGCACAGGTAAGTGTCTGATACAGGGCGTGTGTGTTGGGATCTGGGTATGAAAGACTAATGCCTGCTGACCAGGTCACCCCACACTGTCCGTGTCTGTTACTGGGAGGCACCAACAGACCAGAAACCTTTGTGCGTGGACCAGGTCCCTAGGTCCAGCCCTAGAAGGTACATGGGTGTGTTACTGTCTGTATATGACACAGGGGATATTGGCATGGGAGGTGGGAGTCCCAGCTCAAGCAGACAAATACAGCCTAGCAGGGTGGAGTATTCACAGAGGCAAGGTAGTTGATGGGCCAGTGCCCTAGGGCAGCAGCCCGAGCCATATGATGGCCTTGCTGCTTTATAGCCCAGAGAGAGCCAGTCAGCATGTGTCTGCCTGGGGGGGAATCGCAGCTGTAGCTGCAGTGCTGACAGGGCCACTGGCTGGGGTAATGTAGGTCACATGCCACGCTGCAGGAGCCCAGCAATCTGCCAGGGCAAGACACTCACGTGGGGGACCCAGGTTCCTGCCTCCTTGTTGCAATGACTGTGTTACCCAACCGCAGAGCTGGAGAGAGACCAGCCATGTAGCCTAGTGGTTAGAGCTCTTTCTTTTTTTTTGAGGGGGGGGAGTGCACCATATTCTCTCCTTGACAAATGGTGAACTGACTCCTGGATAAGGTGCCTGGCTGTGACTCCCAAGAGGAAATAGCCGCCTTACTGCCACCCGAATTGGGGATCAGCAAACAGTTGGGTTTACTTGGCTGGTAATCCCTAGGCCTGGAAGTCACTGGATGCACAAGCAGCTTTTTAAACCCTTTGCATCCCTGCATGGAAAAGCCCAGAGAGATGCTAATTTCCCAGGCCACCGTATTTACCAGTTTGCACATTTGATTGAGGGTTTTTTTGTTCATTTCATTTCCTCCTAGAGGTCACTTCAAAGTGCCGGGCCCATTTCTTGGAAGAGAACGATCTGGTGAGGAACTCCCAGAACCAGAGTCTGGACACAGCTCACGGCTCATCCCCAGAGGATGTAGGTATCCTGGCAACGTCACCAGGCCCCGCTGTTCTCGGGATGTTCATGTAAAGGCAGCTCAGGGAACCCCAGCTTAGGCGAAAGGCTGCCCTTCCTGCCAGCAAACCAGCAGCAACTTGCAGGTCGCAAGAGAGCTTATGTCTAGACTGCAGGCTTCTTCCGAAAAAACTTCTTCCGAAAGAGTGCATCCACACATAAAAGCGCATCGAAAAAGCGATTTGCTTTTTCGATAGATAGCGTCCACACTGAATGGATGCTATACGCTATCTTGCATTTCAGCTGTGATTACTATGTCCAGCTCTTACTACTTTTAAAATGCCGAGCCGCAAAAGTCCCAGATCTTCTGCCTCTATATTTTAAATGTACTAAGAGCCTTACTCCTGTCCACACATGCTTTTTTCTCAAAGAGCTCTTTTGGAAAAAGGCTTCTTCCTCATAGAAAGAGGTTTACCAATGTTGGAAAAACCCCTCTGTTCTTTTGATTTACTTTCAGAAGAACGCGATTGCAGTGTGGACATAACTCAGGTAGTGTTGGAAAAATGGCCGTTTTTCTGACAAAATTCTGTAGTATAGACATGCTCAGAGTGGCAAGTGTCAAATCTTGAGTGGGTGGAAAATTCCAGTGTAGGAAGCCATAGCTCCGCCCCTGAGCCCCACGGTGCTACCAGCAGAACCTCTGCCCCCATCCCCAGTCCTTGTTCCTTCCTATCACCCACAGTTCTTTGCACTAGTATTCTGGCTTCAAGCAGCTGCTGCAGAGACTCATCCCCCAAGATCAGGGTCCCCATTGTATCAGGTGCTGCATAGCCACATAGTAATAGGCCGTCCATGCGTCCTAGACTTACACTCTGAGAGTATGTCTACACTGCCACCCTAGTTTGAACTAGGGTGGCTAATGTAGTCATTCACACTTGCAAATGAAGCCCGGGATTAAAATATCCCTGGCTTTATTTGCATGTTCCCGTGCGCTGCCATTTTTAAATGCCCTGTAGTTCAAACTACCTGCCCGCGGCTTCACGCGGCACGGGCTAGGTAGTTTGAATTAAAGCTCCTAATTCGAACTACCGTTACTCCTCATTTAAATCCCGGGCTTCATTTGCAAGTTCCAATGACCACATTAGCCACCCGAGTTCGAACTAGGGTGGCAGTGTAGACATTCCCTGAGTGAGGAAGATGGGATTGGTCGCCCCACTGTACAGCTGGGGAATGGGAGCCCTGCAAAATAAAGTAGCTGAGTGACTGTGCTGCAGTTTGAGCCCCCCAACTGCTGTGTCCTAGTCCAAGGCCTTAACCACAAGCCCAACCTTCCAGCTGTGACATTGAATTTGTGTTGTGCTACGTGCTTTTTCCTTCTGCTCCGGCTCCCTTCTGCCACCCTGCACAGGCCGCCTACTGCACTTTACTGAAATCCACCTTCTGGACCTTGGGAGAGCCCTGCAAAGAGAAGAACTCAACCGTCTGTCTGGAGGTAAGAGGCTCCTGGGTGTTTTATCGCAACTTTCAGGTGTAAGAAGGTATGGACAGCCATACTGGGTCAAACCAATGGTAGGTGTCTCAGGGGGAACAGATAATCACTGAGTGATTCCTCCCCTGTTGTCCATTCCCAGTTCTGACAAACAGAGGCTAAGGACACCATCCCTGACTATCCTGATTAATAGCCATTGATGAATTTGTCCTCCGTGAATTTATCTAGTTCTTTTTTTAAAACATTGGTATAGTCTTGACCTTGACAACATCCTATGGCAAGGAGTTCCACTGGTTGACTATGCATTGTGTGATGAAATACTTCCTTTTGTTTGTTTCAAACCTGCAACCTATTAATGCATATTGTAATCCTCCGTTCTGGTATTAGGAGAAGGAGTAAATAACTTCTTTATTCACTCTTTTCCCACCAGCCATAATTTTATAGACCTCTATCATATCCCCCTTACTCAGCTATTTTCCAAGGTAAAAAGTGCCAGTTTTTTAAATCTCTCCTGCAATGGAAGTTGTTCCATACCCCTCATAATTTTTTTTCCCTTTTCTGAACCTTTTCCAATGCCAAAATATCTTTCTTGAGATGAGGGAACCACATCTATTCAGTATTCACTATGTGGGCGTACCATTGATTTATGTAGAGAGAATCTGATGTTTCCTGTTTTATTCTCTATCCCTATCCTAATGATGCCCGACATTCTGTTTTTGCTTTTTCTCTTCTAGGGTATGTCTACACTACCACCCTAGTTCGAACTAGGGGGGTAATGTCTGCATACCGAACTTGCTAATGAAGCCCGGGATTTGAATTTCCCGGGCTTCATTAGCATAAAGCCGGCGC